TTTTTTGTGAAAATTTAATTTTTCACATATTGGCATTTACAAGGTGTGACTTTAAAGTTCCATGATCCTGAAGACTTTTGCTTGTCACATTTTCTGAATGTCCATGTTACTAATATTTTATTAATAACATTTGATTGTCATCATGCTGTTCAACATTATGTAATGTTGCATCAAAATTTGAAGAAACCCCTATTTTGGGCACTGCTCCTATGATGACCATTTAAGGGAAATCATGTCACTTACTGTTCTCAAACTTACAGGAAAGAAACATGGGTCTAACATACAGCTTCAATAGGCAATGCAGTCTGTTTGGTAAATTTTTCTGGCAATTTAACAGTTTTTTGTGAAAATTTAATTTTTCACTTATTTGCATCTTTATTTTCTGTTTTTTTGTCTGTACATTTGACAGCTTTGCTGCCTTGTTTACAAATTCATTTTATCATTTTGCTTGTCGAGTCTTATCGTTTTGAGATACCGACATACTCTGTATAGAAACCAACATAATGCTCAATATACATAAAAAGTAAAGGCGTCTTATTAAACATAAAAATTAGTGATGGTTGACGTGGATGCATATATGTCGTCTAAATTCACCTGGGGCTCGCAAATGGCCGTCCCGCAACCGCCTGATATGAGAGTCTCCATAGAGGAGAATAATCGGTCCACCTTGCTTTCCAGACATGGTTAGAGTGATGGATACACTTGCACTTGCCTTTATTCGGACACTTGGGTTGCAAACATTATAATTATCCCATTATCTTCGATCTTATGAACACCTGTGCCCATCTTTTCATTTAAATACTGATATTGTTATTACTAATTTCTTCCTTTCATCAAGATAACACTGCCATATGAGAGCACTGCTAATTAATCAAATTCCAACACTACATTTGGATCTATAAACAACATAAGTGATGCAAGAGTTATTAAATAAAACATCTTACAAAATTTCTGGTTATATTTTGGCCAATAAACAACATTTCAACAAGATATTTACTCCCGTCCCAAAGTTTTCACATATTAGAAACTTAACCAGGTTTTGACAGAAAAGTAACACCGACTAATGCTATTGGTATGCATAGTCGGGCGTGAATTGTCAATAAACAATTGTTTTATTTTACATCTGATTTTTCTGTATGCTTATGGCCGTCCTTCATTCAATTATTCTAAAAACGGAGTAGGGTAAAACCATGGATTTTGATAGACAAAAATGACTGATAGTTATATAAACTTTATTTATTGAAATAACCGCATTCAGTGCAGAGTCTGTTCTCCGCACGCTCGGCTGTACCGTTGAACGCTTGTTGAATCTAAAGGCAACCTGGCTATATCGATGTTTACTGTATACTTATGAACGTTTTTTCCTTTTTTTTTCGTTTTGGAAGACTAGTATACAATAGTAAACATCGTTTAACGTGGTTTTCAATGCAACAAGTGAGACAATCGTGTCTGGTTCATCGTCTTGAAAACGTCTACAGACCTGCGTTCATTACGTTTTTTTCCCATAAAGCACCATCTTACGTTACATTTCTAACTATTATCTGATTTTACACTTCTTTCAAATAGGAGGACGCTTGTGGACGGTATTTATTGCTTGTGGACTGTTGTGCGGACGGTAAAATTAGTGCTTGTGGACAGTAGTGGTCGGTTGTGCTCAGTTGTAGACGGTAATTAGGTACACCGGGTACATGTAAATTCGCCTATTTTCGTTTCGAACGACAAGAAAAGCTACGCGAACGCCAAAGTATGCTTGCGAAAAGTCTTAGCGACAGGGTCCGACCTGTACCAAATATCTTGCGCAAATAGCGCAATATTTTGCGCAAAATTACATTGCGAAACGTTCGTGAAAGGGTCTGTTCGCAAAAAAGGACTTTGCGCAATTGCGCAAACTGCGAAACGTTTCGTGAAAGCCGGCCCAGCTCTATTAGATTATCATTTTTATTAAATTTATGCATTTTTTTGTGAAATTTTCATTTTTCTCATTCTGGCACTTTCTAAGTATAAACTTGAACTCTGATGGGCCTGAAGCCTTATGCTTTTACTTTCATCGGTGTTACCTGTTGTGCATGATTAAAAATTGATGTTGACTGTGCACTTAAACATAATATATTATTGTATCAGAATTGATAGTCTCCTATTTTGTGTATTATTGTTTTGTGCTTTACTAAAGGTGTGACTTATGGGCCTGAAGACCTTTGAGAGGGTCAGTCTGTAAATTTCCCTTGGGTATCACTAGGCTAAGTTATAAAGTTATAAAATCATTTGCTAATTAATAGGCCATTAAATGAGATTACATAAAGCACACTTATTGATATTTCCCTGTAAACTCCCAAAGGTTAAGCTCTCTGCTAGATTAATAATAAGGAAGGAATGATTATTATGCAGAAAATTTTGTTTTATATTGCAAATAAGTTTTTAATATATATATATATATATATATATATATATATATATATATATATATATATCAAACTCAAAGATTAAAAGTTTGAATAGCAGCTTCATTGGAATTATATTTGTACCACCAGCGTAGGCGCTGGCGGTACACATGGTTTTAGTCCCGTCCGGTCCGTTCCGCCGGCTCCGCTGGCTCCGCCGCCATGTTACCGTTACCGCTTCTCCTCCTAGACGGTAAGGGCCCCCATACCCATCTCTTGGATTTAGGTCACCTATAATCTCAACTCGTTCCACGTAAAATTTGGGCTTTGTCGGTATTGGGGTCTAGGTGTGGCA